AAAATAACAGTATAAAAAAAGACAAGTACACCCTTTGCGTTCTGCGGATTATAAACCCCGAATATATACAAAATACACTGAATACCTCATTAGCTTCAGGACTCCAACCAATTATGTGACATCGGTTTTGATTCGTCGCAAGTTCTAACTCTGTCCCGAGAGATAACGAGGTCTGGTTCAGTTGGTGCATATATCCTCGTCCCGTGCCCTGCAGTTAATCGTATATTATTATTAATTCGTCTAAAATACATAATCACGTAAGCCGCTTTACTTAATACCGCTCAGGGCATTCCAAGACGCCTAAGATTTGCGATTAAAAAAAAATCGAATTTACTTAAATTTAACACTTAATATAAAAAAAAGTTAAATACGTGATTTTTGCAGTACAAATAAAATGTTTGTCAATAAAAAACAACTAAAACTGGGGCTACGGGGCTACATTAACGCTTTAGAAAATGTTATTCAAATTAATATTTCCTTATAAATATGATTTTCTGTCATTATTTAAAGTTTTTTTTTGCTACATTAACATATTTGTATCGGATTGTCTTCCTGAAAGTTATTATTTGCCGAGTTAAAATTTTACTTGCACCAATAATTGTAATTTTCAAGAAAAAAATTACAAATTACAGTGTCATGTACATTACTTTGTTATTATGGGAGATTCGTCTTTGAAAGTGTAAAGGCAAAAACGACGATACAGTTGCTAACAATATATTATAATATAAGTAAGCTTTGTATCTTTACGCTAATTTTACTAAAATGTCTAGTCAACATCAGCTGTTGTACACTATAATATATTATAAAAGTAATATCATTTTACTTATATAAGGTACCAAAATATATACTGGGTATTTTTAATTACAATAACAACACTTTACCTAACTGAAATAATACAACTTTTATAAGAGATCCTACAATTGAGTTCGTGAAGTCAGCCTGGTTCTGATGTCAAAACGCTCTTTTCAGCTGATCTGCTTTTAATTTAGCTTATACCTATAATTATTTATTATTTTCAAATATTTACGATTTATTAATTAGTTCTATAGATTTTAAATTACAATTGGAGTTGGGCAAATTTTTATTAGAACAAAAAAATAGTTGAATAAATTTTGAAGTAGCATACATTTTCAATTTATTCGAAAAAATAAAAAAAATGGTTGTAATAACTTTTTATTTGAATAAATTACGAAAATAATGGTTTGAATATTATCTTGTTTTGATGATTATATTTTGATAACATTTTATCGAATTATATTCGACTTCGATTACAAAGGAATTTACTCATATAGAAGAATTTTTTTAAAAACTTAAACAAAATACCGAGTTTTTTTAGTAAATTAAAAACTTTTTAAGACTACGGTACCAAACAACTTTTTTGGTTTCATTTATTGTAGTTTTCATGAATTTTTATAATACTCGGTAAACTTTTAACGTCAGTTTTATCAAACATAATAACAAAAGTTTTTTCTAATATCGACATACTGCGATAGTAAATACGGGCCAAAAATTACCGCCAACTATTGTTAAAAGCTCATTTTGGCGTTCATTTCCATCGCTTTCAGGGTTTTTTTTTTTGCAATTTTTACTTTACAATGAAAACGGGAGGTACAATAATGATCTGTGTCGGGATTGTCAAAACGTCGCTGTGTTGAAAAACATAATAACATGCGATACACCAGATTGATTAACTGACATAGGAATAGGTTTTTTCTTTCCCTCCGTGTCCGTTTACGTAGAGTACGGTATTACAATGTACTATACACTGAAATGCGCTCTCACAAAAGGCACTTTTAATGGATTTCCGCTGACATTTCATAAAACACAACATTGTTATTTTTTTGTGTGTATTATATAATGGGTCAACCTTTTTTTCCCCCTTCTGGTACAGTACAGCTTTAATAAATACTATTGTTTCGTTAGATGAAATTGATTAATGCATGTCAAATAATACCGTTGCTAAAAAATAAAAATACATTTCTTTTTGTATAATCATAAAATAATAGTTAGTATGTTTAGATTATTGCGTCAATTTAATATACCTACTTTATCATATAAATTCTCCATAACAGTTTGTACATTTATTTTTATTTTTATTTATTTCTAATTCATACATAGAAACTAAAAATGTATCGTAGCATTGAAGCTAAAATCTATAGTAATCATTATAAATATAAATTATTTTAAATATAAAATGAACATATAATTTACATTAGATTCAATCTTTAGAAATTTCGCTATGATGATCATGTATTTTTGTTTGAGTTTCAGTTATTACATATTTTATACCTTAATGTCAATGTTGATTGATGCTATGTAGCCTATAGGTATTTTTATATCATATACATATATAATACGTATATACGTATATTAAAACATATTTTCTTAGTTTCATTTAGACTGATTTTTACATAAATTCTATACATATAGATAATGAATACTGTGCATTGGGTTCTCATCACATAAAAACAAGACACAGTGTAACATATTATTAAAAACACACAAAAAAAAAGGTTATTGAAATTTTTTTGTGAAACGAATTTTGTGGTACTCTTTAAAAATAAGTGAGATAAATTACAATTTAATGATATCGATTTTCCAAGAAAATAAACTAATGGGAAATCCATTGAGATTTATCTAGATGTTATTTTAAAGAAACTATTTTTTCATATTAATATTATTAAATAAAAAAAAAAATATTTGATATTTTTGAGGTTCTACTGTGAAAAAAATACCAAGCTAATATATAATATATTTATTGAAATTGATAGTATTGCTTTTTAATCTATTAACTAAACCAGATGTCCACTTTAAATGCACTATGCTAACTTTTTATAATCTACACAATATTGTTTTATATGAATTAATAGAATTGGTGCCCAAATGTCTCTTTTGTTTTAATTAGGTTATACATGCATAATAATGTATTAAAAATTACTAACTTTTAGTTAGTTGAATGACGATTGCCAATATGATACTAGATAATCTTTAATTTTACCCTACAGAGTTTGTACACTCTAATTTATAGTCACTATTTAAGTCTTCGAAGTACACCATACAATCGACATTAATGGAGTTTTCTTGGAAACCGTGATTATACTCGAATGATACACTTTCATATTTTATGTATGAACTCTACAATATGAGTTTTATACAACTAGAACTGTAGTTTATATCAAGATTATATGTACATTTATTTTCTTAAATATGTTTAACTTAATCTATTATTTGCAGCTTGTACCGGCTTATAACTCGTATTACTTATAATAAATTGAATGCCAAGATAGCCAAGCTGTATAGAATAAATAAGAGTTTCAAAAAAAGTGAAACGTATAAAAATAAATTATATTTTACACTATACACGACAAAAATATGTATAATTTAAAACATTTTACGCATTTAATTTTATTAAATTAATCACAATATCACGTACATTTTTTTGACAATCCAGTATTAGGTCATTAATTGTATCAGTCGTTTTCATTGAAAACGCAGGCTAGAGTGCTTGACATATAGTATCTTGATTGTGATAGAATATATTATAATTTATAACACAAGATTTAACTAATTACATTTTTTTATATTTTCGATTGGTATCTATTGGTAATGGTTGCATATTGAGTTTTAGAAATACACTATTTACTATGTATATAAAACCATTACGTCTTAGATTTGCTCGGGAACAGAACAAAATACAGTATACATTCTATCATATAATCTATCATCCAAGAATTTTAAATTTCAAAATATTTTACCCATTTTTTCGAAAAAACATTTATTTGTTTATTAAACGGTTACAACGATATTGTTCACCACTATAAACTAGAGTATAAGTATAAACAGAAACAATGTTAAGGATATTGGAAAGATGGCTCGACATTGGCAATCCATATTATTTTTATATTGTATTTTTTCTAGTTTTTTTCCTGCAGAAATCCAATATGTTTAGGAAATGTTAAACTTTAATATTATGCTCTAGTAAACAACACTTGTTATTATAGTATTGGTGCGTTCCTTTTATTAGAATTTAAGTTCCGTTTGAAAGGTGATGCGCTTTTTGTAGCCGGCGTTCGGTGGTAATAACTAATAACAGCATATAGCTCATCGATTGTCAACCTATGGGATATTAAAAATTCCACTAGAGCTTTTGTCGTGAAGCCATCGATTTGACAAATAGTCACTTTAAGTCAGTACAAATAGGTAGGTTTAGATATTGTGTCAGATAGATTTTAAACTTGTACGTCATAGCAAGAAATGATTGCCTTGCGATGATAAAAATGCTTTTACCTTTCGACTGGTCACAGAAAACCGCGCGCGAAACAATATCAGATAACATTGTATAAGCGCGCCTGTAGTTTAGTACGGCTCTTTGTGCATTCTGAGTACAAGGCTTTTCAACTCAACGACGAATTTCTAAAATGACACCAAAGATTAACATACAGCGATTGTATAGATAGGTTATAACGAACTATGGAGTAATTGTTATTGTATTGACATCAAAGAACTTGTTCAAATCCAACAGCTTTTGAGTACGTCGCAGCAATTTTACATGATATTGCATACATCAAAATAAACCACTTGTGTTCATTGACATAGAATGATTATAATGTAATATACACTACTAGACGTGTTTAGTTGGTTGCTTACGTTTGATTAACAATTTTTTTTCCGCTGGTATAATTAAATATTTTTGGCATAATAGCTGAAAGTATTTATCGTCTCACAGTTTGCCTAACAGTTAAAAAGGTCAAACGCAATTTCTGTAACCAAGAAGGATCATTTTTATTAAACCTAATTGTATACTTTATGCAGAAGTCGTAAATTCAAATTCAAATGAGCTATCTTGTTGTATATTTAGACTGTGTATTTGGATGCTATCTGCACGTTTACACTATTTGCACCGTTGTTACATTAACTAACTACAACACGTTCTGCTTTGCAATTTACTGGAAATACATATTATACTAATAAATCTGTTTTATTGTTTTTTTGATATCTAGACCGGTTATCCTGACGTGCAACAAACGTCTAGGCCGTCGACTTCCGGAAACATCAGGCGTGAAGGTTTGTGTAACGGGCAGCTACACAACAATAGAAATTACGAATCGCCTAATAGCTCAACAGCTTCAGATAGAGACCGAAAAAGTAAAAGTAAGTATTTTCAAAACTGATAATTACTCACGTTTTAAAATAATGTGTGGCACAACGACAATAAATTATAATATGCGGGTTCGCGGTATTAAAGGAAGTTAAGTCAACTTTATACACATTATCAGGAGAGCAGAAATAAACTTTGGTTAAAAATGTCGGATCAGGATTGTAATATTATGTAATTATCGAACAATTTTCAGTTTATAAAAAGGCATCCTGTATTGCTTAGCAAAATTAAAATTTTTACAACTATAAAATATCAAATAGTTAAATTTTAAAAAATACTTGACTTAACTCATTTTGTACTCATACGTTATAGCATCGACTTAATCGGCATAACTTGAAAGGTACAAAAAATTGCATTTATTATTGACTTACTGAATAGTATTAATAATTAATATCCTTTTTTACGCGCACTCTCAACTAAGTAATATATAGTTAAAATTGATGGCGTCATATGAGTTAAGTCGAATTAAAAATATAGTTTATACCACAAACATAAAAAGGAAAATAAATAGTATGAAGTCTAGTATAATTCAACTAGACGAAAAATCCTCGGCTTTACTAAAACGCGGATCGAAATAGACGGTTCAATATTATTAAAAGTCATAACTTAATCACTTAGCTTAGATATCATAAAATATGTATATCTGTTTTTTAATGTAAATAATTCATTTTATATAATTTTGTGATTTAACGTCCTTTCACGCAGTCTCATAAGTTACTAGTTTAAAGTAAGAACTTTCTTTTTATCATCTTCATTAAAAATTAGATGTGAATACATGAGTTTAGGCTATTAAAGCATAAAAAAAGATAGTATTTTTTTCCATGTTACTTACGAAAATATATTAGAAAAACGTTATATTTTAATTATCTGTCTTTGATTTCAGTTGTGTATGAGATACAAGTTCGGCCTTGTATAGGTATTATATTCGTAGTTATTGGCATGATTATATTACTTTTATGGATAGCGATGCCCAGCTCAACCGAAGGTCCAGGCGCCTTTACTTCCCAACACGAGGAAACTTTAGAGGTTATCCGGAGGATACTCGGGGAAGTCCCATTAATTGACGGGTGAGTGTTTTGTGATACATACATAAATAATACAACTATAATTATTATTAATTTAAGTGTGGGTAAAAATAAACAGAGTATGAAAATTATTTAAAAGCCTATTTTGAATCGTTTATTTTAATTTTCAACTATTTTGTTTAACTAGGAAATATTACAGGATTTAATTTACCCGTACTATAGTAAGTTTATAACGGTTTCAAGTCGTTTTTTATATAAACATTAATCGTTGTCAATAAGTCTAAAGCTTATTAAAATTAAAACGTCCATTTTCTGTCGACTAAAAATGGAAAATGCTAAATTTGAAAATGAATAAATAGTTTGTATTAATAATAAATATAAATGAATATAAAATGAATAAATAGTTTGTATTAATAATAAATATAAAAAAATATAAATCTGCGCGTGTCAGTGTAAACTACGCTGCTTTCTGTACTAGTTAGGCGTTTTATATGTTTCTTCAAACTTTTGTCTTTAATTATTAGTCAGCAAGAAGTTTTCACATAAAATTATTCTTAGAGATAAATGCATAAGACAACATTCAAAACTTAACGAAAATTCTACGTAAATTAATCATTTCATAAAGCTTTTCGCGCTTTCGTTTCATGCCAATGCTCATTTCGCCTCATTAATATTACCTAGTTTGTTGACTTGAACACCGGTAAAGAGTTTTTTTTTTATGGCAGTTAGTTTAAAGTTTGAACTGTGTAAGAAAAAAAAAATGAGGTAAATAAACAACTGTTTTCAGGTAATTTTTTTTATCTAATTTAATTTTAATTGACTAATGAGAGCTTATTTATGTTTTTTCTGTTTTTCGCAGTTTCAAAATATCTGATATTTTGGTCTTAATATTCAACGTTTTTTTCTTTTTAACTGCCTCCGTTTTTGGTTTTATCTATTTTGACCTTCGCATATACCTAAGTTTACCGGATATTTGTCTTATTATTATTTTTTTTTTTTATTAATTACTTTTGTAATTACACATTATAGCACACTATATGAAAAAAAAATACAATACATTTATATTTACATTTTTACATACATTTAAATAAGGAATCCAGCGCTTAAAATAAAGGAAATAATGGAAGAAATAACGACAGGGGAGTGAAAATTAATAAGGAGTATTTGTCTTATTAGTTTATGAAGATGAACAACCTTACTTTACTTTTTTTTATTATTACTAATTTAATGTCTGTTCCTATTCATTTATGTTCTCATACATTTTACTTTTGGAACCTAAAGTTAATTTAAAGTTTTATACTGACATTTTGAATTAATGAATATTATTACTTGGTGCTTTCTTTTTTATTAATCGTCCAAATATTTCACTATAAGATACCTAAATGGTCACTATTACTCAGTAACCTATCACCTCAGTAATTTGGTAAAATATATTATACGTGTTTCCCTTATGTGTGATAAAATATTTATTTTTTTATGAGTTTTTTAATATATATTTTAATTGTTATCGCTTAAGCTATTTCACAACGCGTCAGAGGGCTGAATGGATATACATTTTAATATAAGTATAATTTAACATTGTTGAAATATTTGAACAAGGTTTGACTGACAACCTGATCTCTATGTAAGAAATGCCTTTTATGAATTTGATGGCTCTCTTATTACATTTTTCGTTATTATATCAAAAATATGAAGACGCAAAAACGGGGCATTGCCTTTGACATATTCATTGGTGCATATACACAATTAGTTTTGTATTTGTACACTGTTAATTGATAATTATTTCATCTTTAACAAGTTTGATTACTTCAAAAATAAAGAACTAAAAGTCATCCACAAAATAATAACACTAAAAACGGGTGCTTCTTTGCTTATAGTCATTCCCGAGATATTTCTTGATACTACAGTGTCGATAGTAATATTATGTGATTACCAGAACAATCTATTCTGTCAATAATTTATTTTAATTGAAAATGAACGTTTTTGACATTTTCATGTCTTAGCTCTGGCACAACCGAAAAAAGCGTCACCAAAATAGAAAAACCATTTTTCAGGCGAGTCTGCAACCACGATAGAACATTTTCATGTCTCGTTGAAGTACCGAATAAATTTAGATTAGTCGTGGAATTAAAATTAAAAAAAAAAATTACATGGAGCTTCCAGTTACAGCATAAGGTCAAGGAGATTAAAAATGTATGTACAATCAAGTTTCTGGCTAAAATTGTAGTGTTTATTATCTGGCCAAAAGTGAATTAACATAGAGAATTAAGCTATTTTGAATTTATTATTAAGTTCTAATTTGAACGTTGAGCGTACAACATATCTCTTATCTCATATCAGTTAACAGCGTAACAGATTAATATTCGAAATAGATCCGAAATGGTCATTCCGATAATTGTCTTTCGTCGTCGCTTCGTAGTTTTCGTTACATTGCGGCGCGTAACAGCGTAACGCTTTTTTAATAACACTTTTTTTCGGTTATTTACCGGCTAAATCTTACCCTTATCTCCTACCCTCTATTCCACTCCCGTCCCCAACCCTTTCGCTTTTTTCGTTACGCTCTTTTGGTAACGCTTTTATGGTAACGCTTTTTTCGGTTATGTGCCAGAGCTAAGACATGCAAATGTCAAAAAGCGTTACCTAAAAAGCGTTGCCAAAAAGGCGTAACGAAAAAATAAATGGGGATGAAGATGAGGTGGGAATGGGAAAGGGGTGGAATTAGCTATGGAAAATAACCGAAAAATAGCGTAACGAAAAAAGCGTTACCAAAGAAGCGTTACCGCACGGAGATGGGTTGGAGGTGGAAATAGGGGTAGGAGATAAGGGTTGGGGGTGGGATAGGGGTAGGAGATAAGGGTTGGGGGTGGGATAGGGTTGGGGTTGGGGACAGGAGATAGGGTTGGGAAATAAGGGGTGGGGGTGGGATAGGGTTGGGGTTGGGGACAGGAGATATGGGTGGGTGATAAGGGGAGGGGGTAGAGAGATAAGGGTGACATTAGGGAATAGGGATAGAGTGGGAGATAGGGGTGAGTGATAGGGACGGGAGATAGTGGGTAGGGGATAGGGGTAAGATATAGAAGATAAGAGATAAGAGATATGTTGTACGTTCAACGTTTAAATTAGAACTAAATAATAAATTCAAAATAGTTTAATTCTTTATGTTGAATTACTTTTGGCCAGATAATAAACACTACAATTTTAGCCAGAAACTTGATTGTACATAATTTTTTTATCTCCTTGGCCTTATGCTGTAACTGGAAGCTCCATGTAATTTTTTTTTTTTTTTATTATAATTGCACAACTAATTTAAATTTATTCGGTATTTCAACGAGACATGAAAATGCTCTTTCGTGGTTGCAGACTCGGCTGAAAAACTTTTTCGTTACGCTTTTATGGTAACGTTTTTTTCGGTTATTTGCCAGGGTTATGTGCCAGAGCTAAGACATGAAAATGCCAAAAAGCGTTACCACACGGAGATGGGGATAGGGGTGAGTGATAGGGTGGGATATAGGGGGTAAGTGATAGGGGTGGGATATAGGGGGTAGAAGTGAGTGATAGGGTGGGAGATAGTGGGTAGGGGATAGGGGTAAGATATCAAAGATAAGAGATATGTTGTACGTTTAACGTTCAAATTAGAACTAAATAATAAATTCAAAATAGCTTAATTCTCTATGTTAATTCACTTTTGGCCATATAATAAACACTAAAATTTTAGCCAGAAACTTGATTGTACATAAATTTTTAATCTCCTTGACCTTATGCTGTAACTGGAAGCTCCATGTAATTTTTTTTTATATTTTAATTCCACGACTAATCTAAATTTATTCGGTACTTCAACGAGACATGAAAATGTTCTATCGTGGTTGCAGACTCGGCTGAAAAATGGCTTTTAATTTTAATTTAATTTTAAAAGCAAATTAATTGTGTTTAATTACATTATGAAGATATATAAAAAGGCAGCATTCTTAATATTGTATCCAGACTCTAGAATATATATATATATATATAGGAATACCACTTGTCTTGTATTATTTCATTCTGAAATCGATTTATGGGTTTCGTCCCCTGTCACTGTTGACTATCTTTTGTGCTTTCAGCAGGATTTATTAGCTCCAATCTCTGCATCGATTAAACTTTTTGAAAACTTCCGAATACTTTCCCTCGTTATAATTATATTAGTAATATGATTTTTAGAATGTATTGTATCCCCCTCGTCTAATTTTTATTATACAATTTTCTTTGAAATAAAAAAAAACATTATATAATAGGAATCTACTCGCAACTTAAATAAAATCTATTTTATTTTATCAGATATACTGTTTTCTATAAATATACAAAATTTGATTACAGCATAATTTATGATGTATTGATATTACTTTTTGTGGTATTTAATATGCGACACGAGAAATTTAATCATGTTTAAATATCGTGCTAATCAAACACAGTATTATAATCATGACGAATTAATCAAACGTTTCTTGGCGTACAGCTTATTAATTGGATCATTAGTCAAACAAGATAGTTTATAAAACATAGTACGCTGAGCCAGATTACATGCAAATCAAATACAAAAGTTATAGAAACTCAATTTCGGCACAAACACTTAATCATTATCATACTCTGAGCATGGCTCTTTTGACTAATTGCCATAAATGTTTCAACCTCTTGAGTACACGTATGTTCAATATCTGGAAAAATCTGCGATAAAACCGTACGAGTTTTTAAGTTAGAACTTTTACTGGCTATAATTTCGAGAAAAATAGTCGGATCGAGTTGAAATGTATAAGAAATAATTATTTGGTAGGCCCACACACGTCAGTTGTGTCAAACTTAAACTATATCCATTTCCCACCCCCCTAGGGGGGGTACAAGTTTTTTTGTTTTTCGGGGTTTTTAGCCGTAGTTTTAAAACTTTTGGGTTGAAAATTTGCCAGTAGTTGGAACTCATATGTATCCATAACATATTAAACGGGTGAAAAATTCGGCACTACAGTTTTTTTTTAACAATTTTATGTACATCTATGCAGAATGATACTATTAAG